TTCTTCCCTCCCCTGCTCCCTCCCTCTCTCCCTCCCTCCCTCTCATTCCTCTAAACATTTCAGTGTGTATTTCCTAAAACCAAGGAACTCTTATATAACCAAGTATAATTACCACAGTCAGAAAATGAACACTGAAACCATAATCTGTGGGGGTGTCTTGAGGTTTAACTGAGAAAGCAAAGAATGTTATTAAAGTGCCTAGCAGGTTATCTGCCAGGATAGGAATAAAAAATGTAAGAGTTGCGGTGCTAGGGGTTGGGGACTAGAGAATCAGACAACATAACCCGGGGCAGAGAGGGCTTCTGAAATGGAAAGGCTGGAAGGACCATGAAAACTAGAGACTGTGTTTAGGATAGGCGAGAAGGGGAGAATGAACAGAGGTTATGGATAGGGAGAGGGATGTTTCTTGATTTATTTAAATAAAATTATAGAAGCGTGTACCCACTGAAAATAATCAGAAAATAGAAACATAGGATCACTCATAATTCTGCTTAGCCCAACCACTCTTAACATTCGGTGTATATCCTGCCAGACCTTTTCTCTACATATATGTGCACATGCATATGTGTGTAAGCAGATTACACTCCACATACAATTTTGGGGACCTGTTTTTTCAGCTGATATACAGAGGGTGCCAAAAAAATGTATGCACACTTAAGAAAGGAAAAAACTATTAAAATTGTAATACTCAATATATACTGATAACAAAGATGAACACAGTCACGTTTGACTTCTGCAATTACAAGAGGTGCTCAAAGTGGTTACCATCAGGGTCCAGACACTTCTGATTGCGGCGAACTACTGCTTGAGCAACGCTGACCAAAGCGTCCACTTGTATATATTTTTTGGCACCCCTGGTATTTGTGGGTGTCTTTTCATGTCAAATGTCATTATCTCTCATTTTAAATGACTGCATAACATTCCACTGTATGGATGGACCATGATCTAAAATCTGCCTATGAGTGGACACTTATGTTTCACGGCTGCCCTGATGCCTTGTACTGCTTTAGTCCTTAGATACATTCCAAATCATGGCATTGCTGAGTCAAAGGGAAAGCACATTTTTAAAGGCTTTCCAAGCACGTTGCCATTACCCACCACTTACTGCATGTCTCCTGAGTGACAGGAGCTGGGCTGAGAGCTTTACACATAGCCTGAGGATACAGGCTTTACCCCCATTTCTACAAAAAAGGAAACTAAAGCTCCAAGAGGCTAAAGGCGCTAAGGCCCTTATGCCCACGCACACTCAGACCCCTAAGAACAGATAAACACCTCCCAGAGAGAGGCTAATTCTGGGCAGGTGGCTGTAATTCTTTAGAAAATTAAGGACTAAGGGATGCAGTGATAATGGCTTCTCAGTCCAGGAGACACCCCAACCTTGGATCCCCCACATTTCTTGATGTAGTCCGAGCAATAGATCAGATAGGGACTCTAGACCAGGAGTTAAGAAACCCGCCCTGGTCCTGGCTGGGAAAGTGGTGGAAAGTTAGAGCCAGGAGAGACCTTAGCGACTCCACAAGAAGTGCTGAGCACCACACCTGGGAGACAGGACACCAGGAGCGCAGGGCTGAACCCATCCTGCCTGGGGCCTGAGGTCTGGCAGTCCATTTGAGTTGTAGAAGTCCACTTCTCCCTGCCCTCGTTCACTTCCTCTTAGAGAGAACATCTTACTAGAATTTCATTACAGAAAATAAGGCAGAGCCGAGCTGGAGAATAGACAGGGGAGGACGCCGGGCTCAGAGGCACATCTGTCTGCTCAGCACACCTCTCACCCTCTGGCCCCCAAGGTCCAAACGGCACATGTGCAGGCCAGTGAGCTGCACCCACCCTGTCACTTCTCGGTAAAGGAAAATGAGGCCTGAGGGGAGGACACAATTTAAAAGTTAGTGGTAAGCGAATATCTCCTCTGAGCCTGTGCCCTCCTCGGTAAAACAGGGTGTGAAGAGTTTATCTAGGTGGAGCCTTGGAAATCATCCAGAATCCTCTTTTTAGCAAAGATTAACTTTTCATCAAGATGTGGCTTCCTCTCAACTTTCAGGGAGTAGTTTTGCTACTTATTTTATAATCTGTGCACATATGAACTTAAAATGTATAGTGTGCAGGTCACTACACAAGAATTCAAGCCATGGAAATTCATAAAGTGAAAATACGCAGTAGGGTCCTTCTTGTCATTCCACAAGGCCATGAAATAAAAAATGTCCTGAGCATGGACAAGCTCTAAAATCGCCCTGAAAATAAACATCGTGAAGTTATTATAAATACTGAAGACAAGGTCAAAGACAAGGGAGATGTCTTAAACAGGAAAACAGAAGTATTTAAAAAATGATCTTGCATCACTATCTAAATTTTGTACCAATATGCAGTCTTTTCATGGCCACTATTTGGTAGATCAAAGGAATCAAGGAGGAAAAATCATCCAAAGCTAATTTTCAAAAACTCATTCTGATTCCACCCCAAGGTAGAATGGGGTGAGATGTACAGAAACCCTCCAACGCCTGGAAAACATCTAAAGCGTATTACCTCACTTGAGTTTGTCAGAGATTTTGAATTGCCTTAAAACCATGTATTAGCCACACAAAGAGAGTCCTACCCTGAGTTCCCTAATGAAAAGTTAGAAGGGTTAAGCTATGGTACAGCATTTAAGATGGAATACTATGAGAAATACCATGTAATAATTTTTAAACAGTGACATTAAAAAGAACTGTAAATGACATGGGGAGCTCTTCAATCCATTGTGTTAAATTAAAACTGGGCTCCAGCTCTGTACCTACTATAGTCCCAAGTATGCGAGTAGATACATACACAAACATAAAAACATGAGCTATGAAATTTATCAAAATATTAACAGTGGCTACCTCTGGGTGGTGCAATTATGGATGATTTGTTTTCTTTTATATTTCTAAATTTGCTACAGACAGCATTAGTTTATTATGACGTTATTCTAAAAACATTTGCATTGGCTAGCTCGTGTGCATTATGAATGCAGAGCAAAGTATGGGGGGAAGAAATAAAGGCAGGTTTGCTTTCTGCTCCCTCTGGTGGCTGCAGGCAGCATGTGCAAGAGCAGCCTGAGAGGATAACTACAGGGAAACTCACTTCTATAAGCCTCAGTGCAGGCAGCGTGAATCAACATACTTGCTTTAGACTAATCCAGAAATCTGGTTTTCATAGATTTCTCCCTACACCATAATATCAGAATCGTCCAGGGTTCCAGCCATAAAGCCTTCCCAAAACAACAACAGAAAAATTGAGCCACTTTAAAATGGACCTGGAGCTGTTATGCCAGAAGAACTGCCTTGCACATCGTATGCCTTCAAACCTTCAGAAAGTTAAAACAGGGAAAAATAACCTTTGGACTGGGGCTAAAGAAACATTGGGCCCCAAAGAACTGTTTGCAAAGATAAGAAGAAGGCAGTTATTGTGATTACTGGACTGAAGAGGAGGAGACTGAAAATTACAAACACTGTTTAGCATTAACATCACTATGTTCTGTTATCTGCACCAATGGAAATGTCTTCCTTCTATTGATGTAATTGTTCCCCTTTTCTTTCTCATAAATACCCATTGCCTTTGTCTCCTAATCAGAACATTAACTGGGCTTCTGCCTGAATAGTGCTTTCCGAATAGCTATTCTTATTCATCTCAAATAAATGTTTGTTGCCTCACTTTGAAAGACCTTTATATTTTTAGGTTAACAAGCCTTTGAGAATAAAACCTTACACAAAGTTACATATAGAACCGACAGAAAAGTGAATAGCATCCAATGATAAATCCTGTGATTTGCCCAAATTTCATCTGGATTTGTTTTAGAGAAACTACATAAATCTTCTGAGTTGCTTTGTTCCTAGACAGTATTAGAATCTGCCCCTGAGGAGCTTGTGAGCTGGATGAAGCCCCCACACAGACCATGAGGCTGCCATCCCTGTCGGCTGAAATGAACCTGGTGTCCTCCCCACTCTGTCTGCTTCTAGCCTGTCTTCTAGATCATTCCATTCATTTCAAGTTAAGGACTCTATAGATGAACTTTCTCTTTTTTGTCTTGATCTTGACTCCCATTCCGGTATTCATTCTTTATTATAAAAGCAGTAAATGCACACACGGGGATAAAGTGAAAAATACCTCTACTTCCCCCACTCCCTGGGGGCCCTCTCTAGAGATACGCTTCTCATGTATCCTGCCACAAACACGATGCATACCCAAGCATCTCTTGTTTAAGCTAATGAGATCATGTTCTATACACTGTCCAGCATTTTGTGTTTTCTTTTCCTTCAAAATATTGACACCTTTTCATATACACACATGGATTTACTTTTTCTTTTTTTCTTTTTAGTAAATCTCAACTTTCTGAGAGATGGCCTGGCACGGTGAGAAGGACAGCTGTACAAGAAGCCTGAACCCTGGCACCTGTTCTCCATTGCCCCTTAGAGCAGCTGCATTACCTTAGGGAAATCCCCTAACCCTTCCCAGGATCTCAGCTGCGTCCTCATCTGTAGGAAAGCGGATGGGGTTGTTGGGAGGAGAAGAAAACTTTCTGTGCCTGAAGACTGAGGGTGAAGCAGGTGATCCCTCTAGTTTTAAGGGCTGTGTGATAGGCTCTCCAAAGATGTCCACATTCTAATTCCCGTTACCTGTGAATATGTGACCTTATGGGGCAAAAGGAGCTTGCAGATGTGATTAAGGGTCTTGAGATGGAAAGATTATTTTGGATTATATAGGTGGGCCCAGTGGATTCACAGGGTCCTTATAGGACTGTATAGATCACGGGGGATCGGGGTCAGAGAAGGAGATATGATGACAGAAACTAGGTTGGAGTGATGTGGGACCACAAGTCAAGGAATGCAGATGGCCTTTAGAAGCTGGCAAGGCAAGGAATGGGTTCTCCTTAGCGCCCCCAGGAGGAATGCAGCCCTGCCGGCCCATTTTAGACTTCTGGCCTCCAGAACTGTAACAGAATAAATTTATGTTGCTTTAAGCCACGATGTTTGTGGAAATGTGTACAGCAGCAATAGGAAACTAATACAAGATGTAACCTCATGATTCTAAAATGCCTTAGACTCAAGCAAGGAAGCCCTTACAAAGGGTAGAAGGCAAGCTGAAGGCATAAGGAGAAACATCCAGGGCGAATAACGGAAACATCCTGGAGGAATGAGGGAAAGGCATGGACAGGCTCATGGGGCCTTGGGCTGCGGAGTCTGATGTAGGCTGGCTTCCCCTGGGCCACCCACATAAGCCACTTCCTGTATGTAATGTTGGCTGAGGGTCTGCCTTCCGCATGAGGGCCCCACAGAATGAATGCTGTCTGAGAGTCAAAGGGACGGGAGGTGAAGAAATGAGGGTCCGGAATTGGGGGGAAGTTCACTTGACCTCCAAGTTTATGGTCTACAATTTTGTTGTGTTGATATTTTTAAGCCAAGAATTTGGGCAAGTCAGAGCTAACAAAAGGCTGACCAACTGTCCTGGTTTGCCCAGGACTGAAGGATGCAGGAATTTCTGTTTTACTCCTGAGTCCCGGGCAAACTGGGATAACTTGGTCACTTTAAGATTATGGCCTAAAGAGGTTTCTCCTACTGGGGTAGGGGTCACAGGGCCACCTATATAACAACACCAAAACACAAAAATGTACAGAAAGAGGCTGAGAGACTGAAAGAGAGAACAGCGCCATGATCCTAGACCACGGGGATTTCCAAGGGGGGAGACTGTGGTCAGAGGAGGAGCAGCTCTGAGCGCTAACAAGATCCCAGGGGGCTGTTATGGAGTGAGGGGCCAGGGTGCTGGGAGGGTCGCCCCTGTGAACCCCGAAGACAGTGGGAATGGGTCAGGGCTTAGGGTCAAAAGGCAGGCTCAAGCCATGTGCCAAAGTCCTTAAGACACGAGGGAGCCTGGCTGGGAGGTCGGAAGACAGCCGCGTGGGGGAGGACAGGAGGGAGGGCAGTCAAATGACAGGAGCCTCAGAGGAGCCAGGGTTTTCTACAGGAGCGGGGAGCGGTCTGGAAGCTTCAGGGGGCATAAACAGGAACATGACCACATGACTTCTGGTCTTTTCAACTAAAAAACTCTGACTTATAGCCAGGGGAGGCTAGATCCTCCTACTGTGGGTCCAAATTTGGCCCTGGCCTTTGAGGGAACAACATCCTTGGCAGGACGGGAGCTCCTAGTTGAAAAGCTGCATCTTGACTATCTCTCTGCCTTAAGGCAATTTACAAATTCACAGAAAAGGCTGCAAAATATCCCAGTGGGCACTACTGAGTAAGAGTTTCTGAAGCGCCCCTCCAGACTAAGCACAAAGCTGAAGTGAGGCTGAGCTGGAGCGCGGACTGCCTGTGCTGGAATCCTGACCCCACCACTTACTAACTGGGGTCTTTCTGAAAGTCCTGTCACCTCTCTGTGCCTCAGTTTCCTCATCTGTAAAATGGAGACATTGGACTTACCTCAGAGGCACTGAAAGCATATCATTGCATCATTATTACCATATGCAGCGTGTAGGAATTTGCAAAGCGAAACGGGGCAGACGCTGTCCTGTGCCTCCCCATCTCCATTCCTTGCTTCTCCCCTGATAACAGAGACCCAGCTCTGTTTGGGGATGGCAATGTGCCCAGCTCAGTTCTCCTTTTCCCAGGCCCCCCTTGCAGTAGCCATGTGACCTAGTTCTGGTCAATGAAGTGTAAACAAAAATCTGTTGTGGAGAAAGGAGGTTTAGGGGAAAATATCTGCTTCCTGATAAAAAGGAGAAACAGAAGCTGGTACCCACATTCCACCTTCTTCCTGACCCGGATACAGGGGTGATGTTTGGAGCTGTGGCAGTGATGACATAATCACGGGGCAAATGCCATTGCTCTCAGGGTGGTGGAGAAGAAAGAAGTGTGGAGCCCTGATGGCAGCTGGACCGAAGCTGGTGACCGCCTACCCCTGTTCTTGTTATGGAAGAAAAATAACTCCCAATTGGCTTCGTTGCTTTATTAGGGGTTTGTGGTTATTTGTAGCTGGACACGTTTCTAAATGACATAGGGGCTTAGTGGGCTTCCTATTTTAAGGAGGCCCCTCCAAAAGCACAGCATACTCTAGAATCAGGTCACCTGCTTCTATCAAGGGATTTTCAAAGAAAGGAATCAGGTGCTAAAGGACCTACCGTGAACCCCATTTTTCTTTTCCAAATAGAATCTAAAGGGGGGTAGTACCAAATAGGAGTGGCAGGGGCACAATGTAAAGGTGTGCCTAAGGGCTCCAAGGGGAGGCCTTGCACAGCAAGGGGGAGCTGCCACCCTTAGAGATGAAAAGTGAGCAGATAAGGCCACTTCCCCAAGCTTGGCCCCCAGCCTGAGCTCTGCTGAGGATGAACCATTGGACACAGTAAAGGGAGGCTGAAACCGCCAAGAGTGATTTCACCTGGTTGGTTAATTGCTCACTCATAAAAAACATCACTGAGCCTGTCCTGAATTATGGTAGTGGTCAATAACGAAGTTTAAGAGTGCTATTGCTCTTTGATGCTAACTACACTGCATCCATCCAAAAGCTTTTTAAACAGCCTTAAATGAACTCAATGGTTGGATTTGGTAAGCTCCTAGGCTTCCCTTCCCCCATCGGGCTCTCCACCTCCAAGGAGAGTGGGCAGATTGGAAAAACGAGCTTTAAAATTAGTGTCTGGTTCCGTGTAAAAGCAAAGCTGAGAAAAGACACGACAGTGGCAGAGAAAGCCAACTAATTAAAAAACAAGACAGTTTACCCTAGGCCGCGCCCACAAGGGCTTGCAGTGCTTGCCACCACTGACAGCCCCCTCCACCCCGCTCCGCCTGGGAATGGCAGGAGTGTGATCAGTTTGCATCTTTCAGGCAGGTGATGACCGTAACTGGTCCCACGATCCTTCCTTGGGAGGCCAGCGACCAGAGGGTGCTACCACCAGGCGCCCAGTTCCTGCCCCACACCGGCGCGCCTGGGTGCTCGCGGCTACTCCCTGTGCCTCACCCGGCGCCGGGACACCCGAGGCCCGCATCCCGCCCAGGGCCCAGGCCGCCTGAACCCCCGATCCCCGGAGCCCGGTCTCGTTTCCTCGGCCCGCCTCCCAGCGCGCAGCCCCCGGCCCGGCCCGCACTCACGCTCCACGTCGTGCAGCTTGGCCCGCTCCTCCTCCAGTTTGCCCTTGAGGCTCTCGGCCTCGGTTTTCAGCGACGCCAGCGTCTCGTTCTCTTGCAGCCCGTCCGTGGCCATCTTCGCGCGGGGACGCGGCAGGGAAGGAAGCGGAGAGCGGGGATGCGGGCGAGCTGCCGGAGGAGGCCTGAGCCGCCACAGGCGCAGCTCCAGCCGCAGTCTCCTCGGCGCGCGGCCCCGCCCTCCGGCTCTGACGCGGGCAGCTGTGAACCCAGCTGCGGCGGCCGACCCCACCTCCCCGCCGGCGGCGCCCGCGGGCACAGCGCCCCCTCGGCGCCCCGCGCTGGGCACGCAACCACCAAGGAATAGAACTAGGATTTGAACCCAGGAAGTCAGAGATCAGAGCTCACACCCGAACCCCCCCACTATACTGCTTCACCCAGCCCAGCTGTGCTGAAAATGTGTGTGTAACCTGTTTCTATAGCTACTTATCTGTCACAGGACCCTCACATTAGATATCATTTTAAGACAGGTAACCACTTAAATTTTTAAAAAGTGGCACTTACAATTTCTGCACATATTGAGCAATAGCTGAGCTGTTGAGATTTCTTGAAAACTGGTCTCAGAGCCCTTTGTTTGAAACATTTGTCACAGGAGCCAAATACATTAACTAGAAACGTCTGATCACACATCTTTTACCGAAGATGAAGCTGAAAAAGAGAGATAAAAAGGGATGTAACTATGTGAGAGAAGCCAACAGAAACAGATTTTTTAAAGCTCATCTTTCTTTTATTGTGGTTGTTGCTCAGACCTCTACATGTGGGGTAAAGTATATGCAAGTTCATTTGTAAACTTTGGTTTATTACAACATGCTGGGTCAACACCAACTCATTTAATCAGTAAGAAAGCACCAGACAATAGGTTTTCTGACAATAGGTTTAACCAGTTATTTTGGCAGCTTGCAGACAAGGACACATGGGTTTTTGCGGCACAATATTAATCTTGTGGGGCTTCAAAATAGAAAGCATTATTGTAATGAATAGTGTCATTTCAAACTTAAAAAAAAA